CCATCACAAACTAGATCAATATTCTTTACAATATGGGTAAAAGAACATTAGAGAGGTGTTTTGTCTCTTTTCATCCATTAAGCTTCTCATCTATATTTCTTTGCTTACTCAATCTTGTTATGAGTTTCTTTATCTCTTTTGGAAGAATACCCTAAGAGTCCAATCTTCATTGCAAGATTTCCAAAAGAGCATGTGCAAAAACTCTGCCACACTTCTATCTTTTTTTTCATAGACATTAGTAAACAAACATATATATACATATACACACACACACCCATATAAGGCCTATATATTGTCCATATGTACATGTTGATAAATAAGGACGTGTAGATCTATAAAATATATATTTCAATAAGTGTGTGATCATAAAACTGCATAAATGCAGATGTCTGTTATCTTTCCTATTCAGTCCGTAAATTTAACTTCAAATCCTTCTTTTTTTAATACAAAATACAAAAAATATATTTGGGCAATAAATCAATTACTGCAAAATCATCACATTTTTCATATGAAAGAGTTTAGTAAAAAAAGAAGATAAAAAAGAATAAGAGATAAACAGACTGAAAGAAGTGACTGAAACAAGATGCATAAGAGTGCACAAAATGTCATATCACAAGTCACACTGTCCTAAAAGGGTGAAAATCATCTCTAAATAACACTGGAAGCAAACCCTTAGGCACACCATATCCCATAATCTTCCAAACACCTGAACCAATATCCAAATAAAATGCATTCCCAAAAGACAAAACAAGCCCAAACGTGCAAGCACCATATTTAGAACTGCAGTTATTGAAGACCAAAGCATTTAAAAGGCACACAAATCAGTTTTTGATTTTCATTTAAAAATACAATTAATTCTCTTAATTCTTCCATTTTTCTACAGGAAAAAAAAAAAACAAATTTTCATATGTATTTATATATATACATGCCTTAATAATTAAATCATAAATTCTAAGATTTGTGTGAGCATGTGCATGTGTGTATAAAAGACTGTGCACTTGCCTGTGCTTGTGCAAGGGACAGAACATGTGCCTGTGTGCATGGGTGTGTGCAAGCTCACATCACTACATATGGGAAGACAGTAAAGGAAGAAAGAGATTGTCTCCCACAAAAGCTGAATATTCTTCAGCTCAAAACTCTAGAACTTTGTCAATAAAAGGATCTATCTAACTGCAGTTCTTTATAATTGTCTGATACACCGTCAGGGGGTCAGGTCATTCATTTTATGTTGAGTGGCTGTGAATATACATGAGAAGGAATTCTCAATCGAAAGGTACATGTACACCATAGATACAAAAGACAGACATTGACATATACAGTACATTATATACACAATTCAATGATTCTCTCTTTCTCTAACTTTTTCACTCTCTCCCTCCCTATGTCACTCTATTGAGTTGAGCAATTTTCAGTTGGTCAGTTCCTCACATTCACTCATTCTCCTAATTCTCTCTTTCCCCCGATCATATATCCATACACAAAAACTGGTAGAAGCTGACACTTATGGACATATAAATACACTGGCACAGACAATAATGATGAGTATAAGTTCAGATAATAAGAAAAAGATATATGTAAACAGAGATGCAGATAAAGACATAGAAACAGATACAGATGGAGATATTGAAGAAAATATTAATAGGCAAACAGACAGAGTCATAAATATACAGTATATACACAAAACACACACTCATTCTCATTCTCATTCTCTCTCTCTCTCTCTCTCTCTCTCTCTCTCTCTCTCTCTCTCTCTCTCTCTCTCTCTCTCTCTCTCTCTCTCTCTCTCTCTCTCTCTCTCTCTCTCTCTCTCTCTCTCTCTCTCTCTCTCTCTCTCTCTCTCTCTCTCTCTCTCTCTCTCTCTCTCTCTCTCTCTCTCTCTCTCTCTCTCTCTCTCTCTCTCTCTCTCTCTCTCTCTCTCTCTCTCTCTCTCTCTCTCTCTCTCTCTCTCAACTGAATACAAAAATCTATACAAATGATTAGCTAGATTTACAAAAAAAAAAATAAATAAAAAATAAATGTATCACTCACAGCCACATGGCAAAGAAGAGGAAACTCATTACCTGCGTCAAGCACCTTCCTCCCCCAAGCGACTGTGAGAATCACTTGAGTCTTTCGGAACTGCATGACTTCTGCATCAAGACTGGCTTTATGTCCTTATGCCTTAGTGTGCCCAGTTGTCTTGGCACTGCGAATGCCACCGCCAAAACCCGCGTCATTCTTATCTTTCTACCAATTTTTGCATGTTCTGTGCGATGACATCATGAGCAACAAAAGTATTCTCCTGAGAGATTAACTGTTTATTTGTTTGCCTCTTCTTTTTCTTCTTTCTCTCTTTGCAGAAAATTGGTAAAATGATAACACTGTTGTGAATTTCCAGAATTTGCATAACTGTGATGCAGTGACTTCAACTTCAACCTTCTAAGAATTGAGAAAAAAAAAAAAAAATATATATATATCATATATATATATATATAATATATATATATATATATATATATAT